TAATTGATTCTGAAACTATACCAAAATCATGGGATTTTACATTGGTGAGTCAAAGTGTTGTAGGACTATCTCCTTAGTTCAGCTAAAGATGGGGTCCTTGTCACACAGCCACGAAAAATTAAGCCCACAGACAGTCTGAAGTGTGAGAAAAACAGGATTTATTGGGCAAAAAGGAGGAAAAAAGGGGAAACAGGGACTCTCTGCAAAACCAGAGACCCTGCTGGTGCACTTCCTGATTGAATCCCAGCTTCCACCCAGGAAGAGGAGGGGCCAGGCTCCTCCCTGCTGCAGACAGAGTGGATTTCTGTGGCTCCACCCCAGTGCACATTCTTCCCAGCACGCAGGCTGGTTGGAGTTTCTCTGGGGACCCCTTTCCATCTGGCTGTCTCAAAAGGTCTTTTAGGATATTGCAGTGCCTCAGAGGCATCTCTCAATCTCAAGCACCCCAGCCCAAGAGATCCGTCAGCAGTGGTCAATGGAGACCTCCAGTCGGTTGGCAGAGAGTGGGCAGGTCAGCATCTAGCACATTGCCATCACTACAGGGAAGCGTGGGCAGACAGCGAGCAGCAAATCCTGGCTCAATACTGGAACTCACAAAACTGGTTTTCTAACTGTTGTGAGAGTATTGTTATAACACAACAATAATGATGAGACCCGGGAGAAACATTTAGTAGGATAAAACACACATCAAGTACATTGTTGAGATACATATGGCCACTCTTCCAATATTTGTCTACTGATAATTTCTTGACCTTTTAAGAGAAGACTTGAGGGTAAGATGTGGAAGTACTGATTTGGTTAGAAGAATCCCAAGGAATCAAGAGACACTTTTTCATACATACAGGAAAAGTCGAGGTCCTAATGTATGTAAATGAACTCAAAAGCTGCATTTGCCCTGCTGTTTCTAGGCAGCCACGGCCAAGTCATTTCAAACCTTAAATGAGGAATGAATAGTGATGAATGCATTTATGAATATCCTCATTTGAAAACAAATGGCACCACAGTTCCAGGGTTCTAAATTGAAAAGTTAGTAGCAAAAAAGAGCTGCTCTAAAATCCATACTCTATAAAATCCACATAGTTCATGAGGAGAATGATAGAACTATAGATCATGGGCAATTATGATCCAAAGAAAGGTTTTGAGGCAGCTGCACTCATAAGTCCCTCTTAGAATGAAGACATAAACATAGGAATATAATACCATAGCTAAATTTTCTCATCATGCTGCCATATTTTTGTAAATGAGATTTATAATAATAGAATTATATAATCAGCCCATTTGCATGAAACATATTATTACTACTAATGTTCAGATTTAAGGAAACTGAATTCTTTCCAGGATGCAAACTATGCATCTTTCAGAGAAAGAGAATATGGGACATGACTTAGAGAAAAACCTTCTTCCATCATGTGGTATCTATGGTGACATCTATATGACATCATTTAAGGGGGCTCCTTGGGGAGACTTTATCAAAGCTTTTTTTCTCATCACCATTTAGTGTACACAAGCAGCAAGGAGATACACAAAGTATACAGATTTGGAAATATGGATTTATTCTCATTATGAGATGAGCACCAAATATCCATATTGATATGAAACATAGAAATAAATCACTGTAAATCCTAAAAGAATTTTTTTTTTTTTTTTTGCAAATCTTTTTCCTGCATTCCCTCACTATCAAATCAACAACTGTGAGATGGACTCATTGACAATATTTTGACATGAGGCAGGAGTTAAACTCCAAAATGGGTGCCCTTATGGAAACCTAATGAATATTGCAAAATAAAGATGAGGAAAACATACTACAAATAAGGTCATGTCTTCTCTTGCTGTCACCCACTGACCCTGACTTCAGACTCTAAGCACTACTTTCTCTATAGATGAGCTAATTCCATCAAATTGGACAGGCCCAAGACTGGCAGATGAAGCCCTGTCTTAAGTACTTTTTGCTTATGCTCTCTACTCTAAAATACTTTCACACATTCTTCAAGCTGATCTTTTTTTATAAGAAAAAAAAGTAAAATAAAATTGCCCTAAAAATAGGGAATAATTACCCTTGTTCATATTATTTCCAAAGAAAAAAAATATTTATGGAGGTGAGTTCTAATTCTAAGTTGATTAATTCAAAATCTTCATGCACAGTAAAAACCATCAGAATATTAGCTAGCATTTATTAAGAAAATAATGTATGCTAGGTATTCTAAAATTTTGAATGCATTATCGCATTTAATTCTCATTCTAACCCTGTGTGTGATATTCTTTTTATACCCATTTTACCCATAAGAAAATGAAGTGTGGTTTACTTAAAGTCACAGACCAAGGCAGTCTGTTTTCAGAGCTGATGCCCTCACCTGCATTAATGGGTGAGCAGGGGAATGTGAGGCTTGGAGCCCTTCCTCACTGGCATAAAACTACTTTAAAAAATTATTCTGTCATAGTATTCTCTAAAATTCCAGGGAGGAGAAAACTGTCTTTAAGATATCAATGTTTCTCTTAGTGGGTTTTTAGACTCCAGAAGTAGAACTTGATGTATTCAAGGCCCAAAATCCATTTGTATGTAACATAAGAACTCTAGCCCTCTGCAAATCCTTCCTTTAGAAAGCTTCCACATTCATCAACAAGCACACACCAGAATTCATCATGTCTTTTAAGCTGGTCTGTTGAAAACAAGACCATATATTATAGTCAGACTTCATTTGGGCCATCCTTTGCTGGTTAGGTACATTGGCAATGAAAGATCTGAAGGCATAAACTTGGCAGCAGCTTCAAAATATCCAGTTGGTCCCGGAACGATAACATGCTCATTATGTGCATTTATTGTGCCTGAGTTCCCCTCTGTCCAAATCTACCCGGAGTCTCCAATCAAGAAATATTGATAGGAGCAGTGCTAACATGATATGACTGGGGACAATACAGAGTGACATGACCCGAGGTGATGAGAAGAACACGTGTGGCTTCCTGACCACCGCCTCCACTTCCCTGCCTCATATTTTAAGGCATAGTACATCCCTGCCTTGGCAGTCACAGACAGAGAAGCCAAAAGATATGTAGGTATAAAGTTGCATCCATCAACACCACCAGGGGTCCTCCTGGAATGCTGTCAGCTTACAGATTGGCTTGCACCCACTGTCTGTGCACACCACACTCCGTGACTGTGGTTCTAGCTCTAGTTCTACAGGGACAGCAAGGCATCTCCCCAGAGCTCAGACAACTTCCACAAAGACCTACCGGAATGCTGGGTAGGAAGTAAAAGAGTCATTTGAGTTGGCATTTGCTTTATTAAGAGGGAAGGGCAGCAAAAAGAGGACCAAATTAGATTTTAAGCTAGGACCAGAATACAGAGGAAATAAACATTAAAAATAAGCCAAGGCAGCAGTCCAAAGCAGTTGAAGTATACCCATTTCTGACCCCAAAACACAAAGGCTCAGAAGCTCACTTTTAAATAGAGACTTTGTTTCGTATTCAGCATAATTGTTTATATTTATGCAATACCTGAATATGCAGCAAATTGCATGGGACTATATCTGAACAACACACTAGTGTCCTAAATGTAGGAAATTCCCAATCTATGCTATTTTGTATCCAGAGAATAATTCTATAATTTCCTATATGAATTTTTGATCAACATAGATGTTAGGGAAATCTCTTGCAGTTAATAAAAATATTTTCTTTTCATTAAATATAAATAATTGCCCATCTTCTTCAGAGAGCAGTCTGTCTATAGATATTTAAATTGTTCACCCAAAATCCATGGACCAAATCCATGTTCGACACTAAGATCCAATTGAACATAATTTAATCATTTGTTGAGGATGAAGAAGCTTATTTTGAGATATTCCAAAACTCAAGAATTTCATTACGATTTCAACTTGTATTGCGTGAAAGAAATGTAAACATGGCACTTGATAAATGACCTAAAAATATTGTACCAATGGTCAGTGTCTGTACCAGCAGTTTGGAGACAGTGTTTCCAATGCAGTCTTCTCACTTCAGAAGTTAAAAAAAAAAAAAAAGAACACATTATGAACTCTTCTCACTTCAGGTAGTCTACAAACAAGGAGAGTTACTTCTGGATGCATACTGTTACCCCATCTATCCTATAAAGACATACTCCAAAAATCACAGTCAAGATCAACCTGAATTTTAAATCCCATGGTGGTAATCTGGGATAAGACAGGGTTTCTCTTTAGGCTGATGAGTGAGAATTTTTTTCTCCTGAAAAAGAAAATCATTATTGTCTTTTAGGAGAGAGATAAAGGCAAAAGACATAAAGTAATCAACTTAAAATGGATTCTCATTTAAAAAAAAAATAGCTGGGTCAGCAGAATTACTGAAGAACAGTTATGTGAAATGTAGTTATAAATGAATAAAGAAACCAATAAGATAAAGATATCACATTAATGAAAAAATAATTATTAAATTCCTGTCCTTTTTGATGTTTTCTCTGATAATATTTCCTTCTTCATAAGATAGTATAATCTCTAGGCAAATTTCCAAAGAAATTAAGAAATTAAATATGGTTTGAAGGAAAGAAACAGGGAAGAAGGAAAAGAGAGAGAGAAGAGAGACTGAGACAGAAAATAAAGAAAGGGAAGTTTAAAAAGTGGCATTTTTAGAAGAGCTTCCAGGACTTGAATTAGGTATGGCATTAATTTTTTTCCACCAAGTCTTAGTCTTGGCATGTTTCTGAAAAAAATGCAGGAATTTCATGGATGTGGGAACTGGTGATGGAAAATGCATTATTTCCAACACAACAATTGTTGTACTTGAGAGAAACTATATGGGAAAAAAATAACACCCTAGAATAAATACAAATGAAATTCATGTATCAAAACCAATACTGTGAAAATAGTTTAAATGTTTCTTGAATTTATATCTAGTCATTAACCTAAATGCAGATTTTAGTTGAAGCCACACTTCTGCCTCATGGTCAGAAGGCCTGAAAACCTGTGGCGTGGAAAATTGGCAGGAAGGAGAATATTGAATTGGTCTCCATGGAAAAACAGATTTTGGCAGCCATAACCTCCTCCCTGGCAGGTCTCTCTCCCCCTCTCTCTTTCTTCCTCCCTGTTTCGATCTTGTCCCAGGAAAGAGGCTGAGGAAAGACCATATATCAGCTACAACAGCAAGCAGTTGTCAATCTGACCATTCATCGAACAGCCGTTCTCATTGGCCTTGAATCCTGTGGTTAGGGTAAAGCCCCAAAATTGTCGCAGCCCTAGACTCACCCTCTGAGAGCACAGAGGCCATAGATTCCCATTTCTACTGGCTTTGGTTTCCTTCTCCCCTCAAACAAGAAAGTGGGGTGGAACACCTGCCTCACCCGATGTCCCTGAAAGAAACTGCAATCCACAAATGGAAATGATAAATTCATTCACAGAAATCCTAAAAATCTATTCCTGTCTTTCCACAACCCCTATCCTATTTACTCCCCTATTCTGTCTGGTTACCTCAGGGAAAGCAGATATTTCCTCAGAGTTTTATTTAATCTAGAGGGCTTCTGCAAAATCATTTCTCCACCCAAGAAGGTCCTAACAGCCCACCTCACCCCTAAAGTTCAGGCTCGTTCTCTCCTGGGCTAGCCCTAAACCCAGGCTCCATCAAGCTGCCCAACATTTTCCTTCCAGTCTCGTTTCCATCATCCCCCTACCCCAGAGCTTCCAGGGAATGTTCGCCACGCCCCTCCGGTGGGTTCCAGGCCCCTTTGCATGAGCGAATTGAGGCAAGAACTACCTCCCTAGAGTCAATGTTGTGTCCGTGTGCTGTGCCTGTGCCTCTCGGTGGTTTTCACGGTGATCTTTTCTCTCTTTGCAGCTGGTTAATAATCCACTAGCAAGTCAGGCTGCAGCGGCTGCAGCAGCCATGAGCTCCATAGCAAGCTCACAGGCCTTTGGCAATGCCCTCTCCAGTCTTCAGGGGGTCACAGGTCAACTAGTTACTAATGCACAAGGACAGGTGAGTGGGAGATGGGAACAAGAGTGCATTTTTATGGCAGATTGAACTCGGAAAGGAAATGAATTTCTTTTGCATGACAGTGATATGTAACCGCATCTATTCGAGGCAAATAAATAATGTTTACTAGCAATGTCAAGAATAGGAGAAGGGTTGGGAGGTGTTTCTATATTTTAGAAGCAAGATTTTTTTTCCTACCTCTAGATTGTCAAAGTTTTATTTTGTTTTTATCTCTGTACTGTGACTCATGTTATGACGTTATATGAAGAAGTTACTTTGCATTACAGGGGCATTCTTTCAAAAAAAAAAAAAAGTTACATTTTAAAAATAAAATGCCAGTTTTGCTTTTTTTATTTTTCACTTAGGGAAGAACTTGGATAATGAGGGAAACTGATCAGTTTCCTTTCATAATTGCTGTAAGATATCAAAATTAGTCTTAACAAAGCCAATTTTTGAATGTATGGGAAGGTGATGAAGAAGTCTTATAAAAGCAACAAAGAAAAGGGGTGAGTTAGAATGAAGCCAATTACAAGTCAGCTCCATGGCCCCCGGCCTCCTGCCAGTTCCCATGGAAGCCAGGCAACCTCTGGCATGCTTGTTGATTTACTTCAGTATGACAGGGGCAGTAAACCTTCCTCATGTCATGAGATAGGGTCCGTCCCCTCACACTGCTAATGTGCCACATAATGGTCATACAAGATACTGGAAGAGTTCAGACGACTCAATAAACCCAAAACCTGCATAAAAAGCAAACGAGATGAAACTGATGATGTTAGGGTACCCTCCATCCGAAGGCCTTTCTCAGAACCCAGTGGTTAGGACACTTGGTTCTCCAGTGTGACTGTTTATGATCATGAAATCCAAGGGAGAAGGGGCTAGCATTCTCACAAAGATTTTTTCCCCAGCCTTATTTATTTGCCCAGCAGTGTGTTTGCATCCTCCCTGCTTGGCCTGCTCTGTGGAGAGAAGGCATTTCGATGTCTTGAACCCTGTTTTTATTTTACATAAAAAGTAAACAAAGATGCATTATAAGCTAAATCGTCTCCGTCTACGTCCCAGGGAAAAAAAGCTGACCTTGTTTTATTTCCTGGGCGGGTGCAGGATTGTCCCATCAGAACCCCGAGGGCTGAACGATGGAGCTTGTCAAAGAGAGGCCCCATGTAATGAATCATCTTATCACAGGTGCACACCACACATATTAAAGGAGGGTTGTATGAACACTGTGCCCTCTACAGTAACCTTTCAATGTCTGCTTTAACCCTTGTTCCAATCCCTTTTCATCAAAGGATCATTTTATGCAGCCGGCTCTAAATGGAGGCTCTCAAAAGCCTATTAAGATTTCTGGAGGGACGGGGTATTGGTGTGGAGGAAAAGTTGGTTTTAATATCTATAACTCATACTCACATCAGGTCGCTGCTTCCTAGAGCTGTGCCCAGAAGTAGGATACCCTGCCTCACTCCTGCCAGGGAGCTGGCCCTTGAGATGTAAATTTTAGGGGTTCAAGATAGAAACCATATCCACCGACAGATATTTCCTCTGATTTTTTTGTTCCTACATCTAAGTAAAATACACTGCCATTCTCTATCATTTGAATATTTGTGATGCAGAAAATCCATTATATAGAAGGAATTATTAGGATTTTATTCTTCTGATCACTTAAGGGCTGATTACTTTCCCAATTAGATATTCTCAGGGGCTGGAGTTACTACCTTTGCTTTTTTTGGCCTTTGCCAAACCCCAGGGATAGCTTTCCCAGCCCATAAGTACCCATTAGAAAATGATCTTCCAAGTAGAAGATTGATTGGTACTGTGCATACATTGTATAAGAGTTGACTTTAAAATATCGTATCTTAGAAACTGTAGTATGATCATTTATTTGATTTGGTACACAAACCTCCTAAAGTGGAAAAAAAAATGACATTCACAGAGAAATCAATAATGCCCACTCATGAAATCTTAAGTTTTAACACATGTGCCCAGTGGGGTCATGTCTTCTACCTAGTGAAGAAAGAGTTCAAGAGTTAAAATACTCAAACTTCCAGTGGATAGTTGGCCATATTCATGTAGCGATATGGTTGGTTTTGTTTGTTTGTTTTGAGTTTTTTTTTTTTTTTTTTATGTTTAGAATATCAACCCGGTTATCTTCCCAGGAAAAGGTGCATGTCCTACAACTGTTGGCACAAAGATACTTGCATGGCCCTGTGAAGTGGGGTGAACAGCCTATGGTCAAATTACACCAAAAAAGATAGGCAAAAATTATCTGTTTTTTGTTTGCATGTGTGCATATTCCTTTGGCTTATGTTCACGTGGCACAAAAGGTAGCAATACATTGAAACCAGATTCTTAAAATTAGCCTTGCTCAAAATACCATGTAAAGTAGGATTACTCCACCCAGCCCATTTTTGATTTCTTAAAAATCTCCATAGCACTTTCCCGGAAAAGGTACAAAGAGAAAACTCAGAATACATTTAAAAATTATTTCGCTTGAGTTCTTGACATCAACTATTGTTTACATTTGGAAGTTCACCCAGGAGTAATCACATTAAAATCTAAACCTAAGTGTGGAAAGCATGTTTTACTCTACTGATAGTTTGGTGAGGTTAGGTCTGTTGAGAAGGGGTGGGGTGAGATGGGGGTTCTATTATCACAAATGTTCTGATCCTCCCCTCCTGCTAGATTATTTTGGCTACCCAGAAACAAAAGACAAGATTCAGTAGTTAAGACTTTGAATTCAGACCTACCTGGGATTGAGTTTAGGCTCCACCGCTTTCTAGTTTTATGATCTTGGAGCCATGACTTAACCTACCTAAGCCATGGTTTCGTTCTTAACGTTCAAATGGAACATATATGAGGCAGCTGTGAGACTTACTTAGTGTTTCACAGGGCCCACAGCCTATGCCAGTGGTGCACTTTTGCAGGGCAAGCAGTCCTAAGGCTGCCTCCTCTGCTGGGTAGATGCCCACCTCACGTGAGGAGACATGCCAGAATCTTACTTCAGGCTCTTGGCCCTCAACTCTCAGCAGAAAGAAATCCCCCCACCCGGGACTTGGCAGTTTTGCTTCCCTATCTTGGCGTCTGACTCTGTTTCTATTAACCGGATATCAGTAAATTTAAAGAGATAGGAAATCTCCATATATTGAAGAATTTTATTCCTGCTCCTTTTTTCCCCAACCGATAGTTATTATGAGCAAACAAGGAGGAAAAACTTCAGTCGTTTTTATAACTTTCTAACCCCACCCACTCGTGTGTCATTAATTCAAAGAACAGACACTATTCAATAGAGTTATAAATTTTAACAGAAATACTGCATTCTAAAGTCATAGAGTAGAGGCCAGGCATGGTGGCTCATGCCTGTAATCCCAGCACTGTGGGAGGCCAAGGCAGGTGGATCACTTGAGTCCAGGAGTTTGAGACCAGCCTGGACAACATGGCAAAACTCTGTCTCTACAAAAAAATACAAAGAAATTAGCTGGGTCTGGTGGCAGGCACCTGTAGTCCCAGCTACTTGGGAGGTGGAGGTTGCAGTGAGTCAAGATTGTGCCACTGCACTCCAGCCTGGGTGACAGAGTGAGACCCTGTCTCCAAAATAAATAAATAAAATCATAAAGTACATATCTTACCCAAGGATGTTAAAGGCTCTAAAATTATATCATACCCAACTTCACTCTGAGGTGGGAAGGTAGCATGTATCCTCCTGAAATTAGTAGTCATGAAATTGATCATGACTATGGCATTGCTGAGAAAAACATCCTAGTTCTCTTTGTTTACTGGATCTGGAAATCATGCAAGTGTGGCAGGTGGGCAATGGAATGGGTGCTAGCTGTGGACTTGTTTGAATTCCAGGTTGGCCCATAACTGGCTCTGTGACCTTGGGCAAATTACTTGAGCTCTTTGAGCCTCAGTTTTGCCAATTATAAAGTAAGGATAATAAAATCTAAGCTCCTAGGTTGTGAAGATTAAATGAGATAATGTGTGGGGAAAGCCTACCACAGTGCCTGAGTACACAGGTATTCTCAATAAATGATTGCATAATTATCATCATCATCATTGTTAAGAGTTTTGTCTCATAGTTTCTGGAAACCTATATTTGATCTGAACATGCAGCAAGAGGCAGTACAGTGTACAAGCAAAAAGAAAGGGTTCTGGAGCCAGACTGCCATCCACCAGCTGTGAGACTGGGCAGTTTCCTTATTCTGTGCTTCAATTTCTTCATCTGAAAAATGGAGATAATAATAACACCCGGTCCTAGGATTAAAGTCCTAAGAATGGCATCAGGCACACAATCATCACTCAATAATGCTATCACCCAATAAATGCTACCTATTAATCAAGATGGTATGTGTTTTCAGTTCATAACTGTGCACAAAAACCCATGCTAAAGTCTCTGTATGTGTGAGGAGTTTGAGAATGTGAAAATCTTAGTAGGACATTAAGTTATTTTAAGGAAATCTTACCCTTATCTTGGATAGTTCAGTAGGGAGGAGGGAAAGTGTGAGTGTATATATGTGCTCTTAACACTTACTCAGTGGGTATGTTCAAGATTTGGCAAGTAGATTTACTATCGATTTGTTCAGCTATAGAATTGGCTTCCCTGGTGCCCCTGGCAATATCTTCTTATTGGCGTTATTGCAGCAAAGTAAAAGCAAATGAAATTTTATTTTCTACTGGTGCTAAAGAAAGCATTCTACATTTTAACTGAAGCTCAGAATGTTTCCTGATGAAATTAAGTCCTAGACCACTGTGAAATTTTCTTAAGTGGCAGCAAGTAGAGTCAAACGCATTGGTCCTTAAAAAGCCAATCAAGGCAGGGAGGTGAAATCAACTAAACATCACTATTTCAACGTATTAAAAAGAAGGAAAAGTAAAGAGACTTACCTGGTCAGGTTACTCAAGAATGTACATACTATTGTATGTCAGCTGAGCAGAGTTGGTTTGGTGAGATCTGGAAGGATTTGCTGGAGCAGTGTAGGATAGGGGCTGCCTCCTAAAATGACCACAAGGCC